TAACTGCTATGATTAATTCCAAACCATTTATCCCATAATCACTCAAATTCCAGGAACGATCCAATTCTACCATTTAAAGAAGCTGGCGGACACGATGTAAATGAGTATTCATGATCTGAAATAAAGAAGCAACTGGTTTTCAACATTTTACTCAACTTACGAGTACAGTCCGCCATGCAGACATTTTTTTTTCAAATGGAGAATTCTGGAATCGACCTCGGGACCATTTGATGCAGTAAAACAACTTAGCATGACTTTATCTAATTTTCGCCCCCACGATCAAATTTCTTTCCTGTTATGAAACTACGATAAGACTGCTGAAAAATGGAATAAATATATCACTGATCTCAATATAATACATCAATAATCTTTAAGCCAAGGGTGCTGTTCACAACAAAGTTATGTAGGAGAATTGACTTCAAGCTTTATTTTTCCCAGATATCTGTATTACATTCATGTGATGTCTGGGTTTTTTGTTAATGCGAAGACAATATTTCTATATCTCTTTATGTGCTACACAAACAGACTTTATAGCAGACTGTTCCGACTGACTCTAATGTCAGAAAGAACAACCAAACTGTAAGTCCATTATACATCAAATTATGTGTAATTTATATAATAACTTATCCATGCCTGTACAATAGGTATGTTCCTGCATAAACAGGAAGGAATATATTATTATTATTAAAACAATATTTATGCATGCCTATACAATTGGTGTACCCTACATAGCTAGGGAAAAAATGTACTTTATTATATTATCTTTACTAAATATGCTTATTAATATTATGTGTAAATTATCGAATTGATGATGCCTGTAAACTGGCGTCCCTCATGTAAAAAATGAGAATATATATTATTATTATTATTGAATGATACTATGCCGAAAGATGCAGCTTCTACATGGAGTAAATGAGTGGTGTAAATGGCACTACCCTCTAATTATCATATCTCCCTCATTACACCGACATTTTGATACATTCCATCTGAAACACTAATCATTGCAACCAATATGCTAAAAGTGTGTCGCAGTCAGATCACATGAGGCGGACACCAACATAACCAGCCAAAAAGTGGGAATTTCCCTCAATCTAGATAACATATAATACCATTTTATTAAAAATCATTGGCAAAAAAAATTCCAAACGTAACTTCTAGAGTACGTGACGAATAAGTCCAGCCTCGTAAACATTATATTGGACATTGAATTTGTTCGTTACAAATGCGTTGAACATTGGAGTGATGACCTTGAGGAAAATTGGAAATTGTCTAGGTCATTATATCCAAATCCGACTGTATGTTATGCATTCGCATTTGCATTTGTGCTACGGTATACATAATTTTCCTAGCATTTTTGGCAATAGCCTACGGTTATTTTATCTGAACTAGTAGCTCTTTCAAACCTATTTAAATGACAAAATTACCCGCATAATCATATCTGCTATATGAGTTGACTGAAAAAAGCGGGGCAATTTCTGAGTAACTCACTATTGAAATTTGGGAGACGTTTTAGGAATATGTAATATTTGCCCTCAAAAATCCCTGGACTTCCTCAAGTCACCATCAAGAACTTCAATTTTCCCCAAAACACTAGAAACCCCCAGATCCATAAAGTAGTCACGAAACTTCCCCTAACCCTCCCTCAAAATCCTTTGAAACCCTGAAAATACCCTGAAATGTTTTATTCGGACGCAATCAATTAACTGAGGCACTTCTTCAACGTGATCGCGCTCGAACATATACCACTAACGTTCCACTACTGTCCAAGCTCATCGCAGTATAGATATAATAATAGAAAATGTCAAGATAATGCCTAGACTTAAAAATATTTTGTGCACTAGTCACATTATTTTTGTAGTGGCCGAGTTTTTTGAGCGCACAGTACTTTTTACTCTCATCGAAAGTATTGTATGTATTGGAACTGCACTGCGAAATCAGAGGACGAGGGAGATTGCTACCAGTCGGCCTTCAGTGTTATGATAAAGAATATCACTAGAGTTTATATAACATCTTTAAGTGAATCTTTCATTACTAACCTCACTTATATCAGCTGAGTCAAATGCCACATTCTCGTCAAGAATTTCAACGACATTTGTACACAGTGGTAACTATATTTGGATGTAAAAACTCGTAGTTTAGTCCAGTTGAAAAAAAAGCGTCTCACTTTACAAGGTATGTGAGTGTTAAGACTTTGAAATTACAGGAATATTTGGGCACAGTTCGATGTATTTGCTTTGTGAAAAGCTGTTGGTAGTAATGTATGTGTAAATGTAAAGATATCTTGCACATCCGCTATGTCTCACAGCTGTAAATTAGGATGGAATGAACTACTGTATAGTACACATGCCATTTAACAGGTAGTCAGATATTGCAATTGCACCAAAAATGATACCAGTTATCCAATACAAAAAATACCTTATTTGTCCATACTGAGACTTTATCAGGAGTTGATCCATTAAGGACTGAAGCGATTTCCGAAATAAGTGAATTGGTCTAATCAATCAATCGTTTCACTCCCCGATCATTAAACTAGGAGTCTGTGAAGACTAAGCCAGGCACATCATCGTACATTTGATACGTTTAAGTCACATGCTACACGTACTCCAGCTTTCGCCCAGTGTCTAGACGACTGCATGTTTTCAGTCTTCACCTGGACGAATTATATCGCATGCGTACTCCTGAGAGCAAGTTAGTTTCTAAAGCTTCGAAGTCAGCCAAAGTCACATCTGCCAGTGAATTTATATTGAAATTATGTGACGGTAAAAATTGGAATTCCTGACGTTTACCGTCGGTTGTCGTCATTTCAAACGATAACTCTCGACCAGCAATCACACGTCTACATGAGTTTGATCGGTACAATAAACTCACACAACACCACCTATCGACAAAAATTACCAGAACGCCTCTTGATCGAAGGGGTCAAATGCCGCCTTAAGGTAAGGAAATATGGCATTTTGGACTTGAGTAAGTATATGTTACAGAATGTGTCACTGCGTGAAGGTATAATCAACATATTCTCACCTAAGTCTGAATTCTGTATGATCTTCCAGGTTTTTCTTTTTGAGAGCCGATGTAGTTTTCACATAATCATGAAAGCTATGGTCTTAAGTGTTATGTTAGTCAATATGAACCATCTGCAATCTACACTTGTCTAATAGAAACATCATATAAAATACCTCCACCATGACATCCAGATTCTTAACATTATTTACTGATACCCATTAGATGAATAGTAGGTCTTCTAATTGCCCTAGTCCTTACTTATATATATATATATATATATATATATATATATATATATATATATATATATATATATATGGGATATTCTAGAAATAATTGGTAATCAATAAACAGAATACATAGTTGACATTATCTTCACATTACGTTAAGTAGAAATTAAGCATTTCTATTCTTATATCGATTTTTTTATTGTACCAATGTAATGTATACAATAGACCAGTCGACATTTTCAGCCATTTTTAACATGCAGTTAATATGCAAATATTAGCAACCATTGTTTATACCCAGTATGTGAAAATGGTTTGTGTGTTGTGATATTTATCATTCTTGTCAGAAATACCATATAGTCAATATTCTTATTGTCTTTGTGTTAAACAACTCGTATTGCAAATCTGTCTGTTCATTATTGGTTTCTAAATCTTTCTAAAATATAATAAGTACTGATACTCTGGACAACGAATGTCTGTCTGTCTGCTTTCGACATAGAACTTTGCACATATGTGCGGCAGTTCAAGTCGCCACACTCCATGTACAACACAAAGCAAGAGAAGAAAGTAAAAGAAAAGCATAATAGAGACAGTAAGCAGAAGTGTGAGACAAAGGAAGAGTAATAACGAAGAACAAAAGTTTCATTGAAAATCATAAATCACAAGGAGCGGATGCATCTACGCCGGCCATTGAGAACGATTTCGAGCCATGTCATCTATTGTTTCCAACCATTGATTTTTACCGTCCCGAGGATCCCAACCAGTCAGGAGGTCTACACCTTCCAACGTAGCTTAAACTAACTGTTGTGGATTTATTTCATTGACTGGTGCCGCCATGTTTTTGTTTGACCTCCGCTAGCTTTTTTCCAGCCTGACCCTATATCCGCTAACATTGCTCGTCGAAGAAGGCGATGACTAGGCATGTGTTGTAACACATGTCCTAACCATCTCAGTCTTTGTAACTTCACAACTTCGCCGAATGATTTCCCCTGTTTACCTAGAACTCGACGCCAGACCTCAATATTGCTCACCTTATTATGCCACTTCAGACGGGAGATAAAACACAGGCAACTTGTACTGCAAATCTGTTTGTTCATTATTGGTTTCTAAATCTTTCTAAAATATAATAAGTACTGATACTCTGGACAACGAATGTACATTTATTTGTACTTAATAGTAAAACTTCAGTAAATCCAAATCCAGATTCAAACTTGTAGCTCACTAGTGTTAGTTATGCTCCATATTTTTAATCTGGCGTTTCTCTTAATACCTTTACTCGTTTCTGGCAAAGTTTCAATCATATTAGTGCATCGGTGGCACAATGGTAAAATGCTCTCCAGCCACGCCTCATGTGGTCCGGGGTTCGATCCCCGGCCACTGGACGCACTCATTTACCTTGCTAAGCCAGTAATTAGACTGGTAAAGACCTGGGGAAGGTTGGGCATAAGGCGGCTAACAACCTCATTCCATAAAAATAAACTCCACCACTGCTACAGAAATCTTAGGCCTCTAGCCTGATGAAACCCTATGTGTTCTGCTAGGAACGTAAAGGAGTTTTTTCTTTTTCAATCATATTAAAAACTTTAAAATACTAATAATCTACTGTATCAAAAGTAGCCACAATCCTTGAGGATGTCTTCTGTTCATAGTCTTGAAGTATAAACTTTTAAAATCGTAGAGTTTTTAAATTTTTCGATGAATTATATGCATATATAATGGATTGTATCTTTCATATCGAATAGGTCTTCTAATTGACTCGTCGAATAGCCAATGAATCCGAACTATCCTTCGGGCCTCATAGGATACGGATGGAATACAGGCCAAAATGTCACTCCTGCTCCACGATGGGAACAACCTCAGATTGGATTCTGCTTTGATTCACCAAATCCTCCAGCTCCTGAAGTTCATCCACCTATTCAAAATCGTGGTGTAGTCGGTTTCAATATTGATCAAGTACCGGTGAATCCACCTTCAACATACTCTTTCCCTGCTAACAATCCTCAATGCCGTATATCTGAAGACAGTTTCCGTAATAGTATCCCACCACCAAGACCAAGTATTCCTCCTCCTACCATTGGATCCAATTCACCGAAACCATATGGTGGAAATGATGAATATAGGTCAGTTACCCCAACAGCTCCTCCTGAACCTTCACCTATACCTATAACTTCTAGTCCGAGTAGTGAAGCAGTACACGTGATTACAATCAGCAAACCTGACCCTTACAAATCTCGTAAGTTATACTTTTCGAATGAAATTTATCGTCATCAAAAATACAGCTTTTATATTTGTAAAACTCATGATATTATGATGGACTGCCACCTATACAATAGGAAGTTTTTTAAAGTAGTTATTATGGCAAGTAGACATTTTTGCCTTTCTTTAATTTATAAGTTATTAGAAAGTTTATGGTAGGGTGTTTAGCAAGTAATTTAATTGAACCCCATATCTTGAGTATTGACAGTTCTTTGTAGGTTGAAATAAACTTTCTACAACGATGACATTTGGAAAAAAATAAATACTGTAGACTTGTTAAAAAGCTTCCAAGCTTAATTTTGCACTTTTTACTGCTACTGAGACTGTAGTTATATTGTTACATAAATTATTCAAGTTTCAGTCTTCTATTCTTTATCATCATTCTCTTGGGCTCCAAGTGGAACAGAGCTTCAACAACACGTCTCCACTTTCTTCTGTTCTCTACTGTCCTCTTCAGTCGACCTGATCTACGATTGCCCATAGTCTTTCATCTCCCTCCCTGTCAACACACGATCTCCCCCATGTCACACTCGCATTCGTCGCTTCCCATTGGGTTTTCACTCTAGAGATGGCCTCTACTGTGCGCGAAGTCATCCAACGGCCTCCTCATCGTATGGCGGATCCATCTCCATTTTCTCCCACATATTTGTCGAGCGATCGGTTCTTGGTTGGTTTGTTCATCGCCAGCGCTTCTTGTTGCTTATTCTTTCTGACCAGCCGACCCTTTTGATCTTCAGTGTGGAGTCAACGAAGGGGGCAGTTGTTGGTTAAAGTCTGCAACAGGCTGTTGAAGATGCTTTCCGTGACTCATGCACAGTGCAAGTTTCTGACCCGTATAGAAGCAGTGACTAACTGACTTAACATTTGTGTTAAAAATCTGAATCTTGTTCTTTATGTTGAGTGAAGCAGAAGATTTTCAAACTGGTTTCAGGTTGATGAAGGCATATCGTGCCTTTCCGATTCTGGACGACTGGCTGGCTGGCTTTGATTTCCTCATCCGTAATGTCACCAGTGCGTCGGTGGCATAGCGGTTAGGACGCTCGCCGACCATGCACATGGTCCGGGGATCGATTCCCGGCCGGCGCACTCCTTTACCTCGCTAAGCCAGAAATAATCCTGGTAAAGAGGAAAGGTTGGGCATGAGGCTAGCAACCTCATCCTGTAAAATAAACACTGCTACAGAAACTTCAAGCCACTAGCTTGAAGCCCTATGTTCCACAGGGGAACGTGAAGGAAAAATTATTATTATTAATGTCACCAGTAGTCGAAACGATGCCGTCTAGCCGGATAAGCGAACGAAGTAACCTCTTTAATTCTCTCCTGTTGATAGTGATTGCGGTTGGTTGTTGTTGCTGTTGCCATTGGTTGGTTATCTTCATCACTCTCGTCTTCTCTATGTTCACTTAAAGTCATGTCTTCTCTGCTGGCCTCTTCTGCCAGTTTGTTTGTTTTCGTTGGCAAGTCTTCAAGCCTTTGTGTCCTTAGACATAAATCATCCGCCGCGAAATCCAGATCTTCTAGAGTCTACTTATCGGTCCAACATACTGCTGTCTTCTCGCTCCCCACACGTGATCTTCCACCTAATCCCAGTCTATCACAATTAGGAATGTCATCAGCGATGATAATAGACAGCCAGCCAGCCAGCCTTGTCTTACTCCGGCACTGACTTCAAAGGCAGGCTGTGCTAAGTTTCCCTTTGGGAATCAGCTGACACGTGGTATGCATTACTTACTTTACTTTGCTTCGGCTATCTCCTACGGGAGGATGAACCGGCTTCATGAATATCTCGAATGTTTGTAAGAGAGTTGATGAAGTTTCATGGGAATTGGGTACGAGTGATGTCCCCAGCATCGCTCGGCCCTTTGTTTGAGAGTGCAGCTCTAGCCTTCACACAACCAAGTGTGACCTACAAGGCAGTAGGAGTGGAGTAGGGAGTCCACTATACATTGGCAGCCGGTGACCGGAGTCCGGTTCATACGCCTTTTTGAATGGGGCCAGACATTCAGAGCATCCAATAAGCCCTTTGTCCATATGTCTACCAGTGAGCTCCGGTGAGCTTCATACGCCAGTCGTTGGAGGTTTGGAATCACGGCTTAGCCATCTCCCCTAGACTGTCATCCAATGGACAGTCAGCCCGGTGAAGAGCGCCGGGCATCCGCTTTTGCCCTCTCACTTCGGTGAAATGAACACCTCCGCCACGTGAAGGCAGTGGGTAGGACTTCCTCAGGAGAGAGGCTATGTAAGACGCACGGTCATATGGGAGCATTTCGAGAGGTGTACGTGGTATGCATTGTCATGTAGTCAGTTGTTGAATGAGGTTGATAAATATTTAGGGCATTGAACGTACATTTCAAGTCCCGTTCTTATTCTTGCTTTCATCGAGAGAAGACACATTGGCTAACTAGCCTCCCGAAGGCTTTCATCAGCCTGTAGAGTCATTTCGCTTCTCCGATTCCAGCGAAGAACAAGTTTCTTTTTTTTGTATTTTTTAAATGTTTTTCTTGTGTGTTAAAGTTTCTCTAGCTGTTTGGTAGGTTCAGTGGTGTAGGGTTGCTAACCGTACGCCCAACCCTCCTTCTTTTTGCCATTGCTTGGGACAGGCTAGTAAACTAGGCGAGGTTCGTCTATTCTTAGTTTTCTAAAATTGAATTTTAAAGATAAGTTGGCTTATACTAGGTAAAACATTATTGTGACGATGTTAGTATTATATTATTATCTACTCCTTGCATTCTAAGTGAAGTATTGAGCCTCAGTGGCATAGCTCCACTGCATCCGGTTATTTTGCATCGCTTTCAACTGGATACACGACTGTCTATAAGTTTTCATTTTCTCCTCAGATGATCTTCTCCATGTCACTCTTGAACGTCCACCACTTTGCTTCTCTCATTTGAGAATCTGCTTGGTGTGTGGTATCACTTCAATGTCTTCTCAGAGTATGTTCAATCCGTATCCATTGCCTTCTGCATAGTGTTGTTAGGATATTACCTTGCATAATTCTCTGATATAGATTCTACAAGTTGCTAATAATAATAATCATTATTATTGTTCCCTTGGGTTCCTAGTGGAACATAGGGCTTCAACTGCACGTCTCCACTTGCCACTTCTGTCTTCTGCTGTACTTTTCGCCTGAATCCATGTCAGTCCATACTCTTTCAACTCCTCTTCACACGATCTCCTCCATGTCACCCTTCGACGCCCCACTCACAGCAATGTTGCCCAGCGGTCTCCTCAGCGAGTGTCCAATCCATCTCCACTTTCTCCTGCATATTTGTTGGTTGGCGATTGGTTTGTTCTTGTTTTGTTTGTTCCCAGCCATAGTTTCTTGTTGGTGGTGATTCTTTCCGGCCTAGCCGGTCATCTGATCTTCAGTATAGAGCCAGCGAAGACAGTTGTTGGTTGATAAAGGTTGGTCTGCAACAGGCTGTTGGAAATATTCTTTGTAACCCACCCGCTGGATTTTGCTGCAGCTGTTGTTGTTGGTTGGTTATTTTCATAACCTCCGTCATGTCTATGTTCACTTGGAATCCTGTCTTCGCCGGCTGCTTCTTCGACCAGTTTTGTCGGTTTTCGCTTGCAAGCCTTCGATTTTGTGTGACATCAAACATAAATCATCCAAGCGCGAAATCTAGGTCTTCTAGGTTCTTCGCGTCGGTCCAGGATATCCCTGTCTTCTCGCTTCCCACTCACTATCTGACGCATAATCCAGTCCACCACAATTAGGAATATCATTGGTGATAATAAGCCAGCACCCTTGTCTGACTCCTTTGTTTACTCCAAACGCCTCGCTGAGTCTTCCATTGTGGATCACTTGGCAGGTGCCGTTGTCGTACAGCTGTTGAATAAGGTTGATGAAAGTTTGGGGTACGATATCCAATATATGTTAGCTCATGAAATAAATATTTAAAAGTTTAATAATCTTTCAAAATGTACGAAAGATGGGATAGAGTTAGTTACTCAGTTAGTATATTGGTTATAACTCATTGAATTGAATTTTTGATTTTCCCGTCGATTGATTGATTGGGCCGAAGTGCTCGGTCTCAGGTTGACATTCAATAATTAATATGACCCATTGCACAAGAGGTGGCTCTCGTGGCCCAAGTGGTCTAGTGGATAACGCTTTGGCGTTTGAAACTATGGGTACTGGGTTCGAGCCTCGGTGGGAACATCATCACTCACTGAGAAATGCAGGTACATCCAGATGACGAGTCCCAAATATGACGAAATGCGCATCCTGGATTCCACTGCTAGCCACCATCCACCAATTGTATACTAGTTATAACTCAGTTAGCCGGAGAGGACTTTTCTTTCATATACGAGGCTGAGCCACACTTGCTGTTTAATGCCTGATGATGCCTCTTAATTGTCTAAGCTGAGGTAGGTGAGTTACGTTACAAACCCGTAACTTATGAACTGAAAGTCAAGTACTTAAACCAATGGTCCTTAATTCATACTCTTGAACTGACGGATTGGTTTCCATAGAGTAGAGAACTTTGTGCAGATGTGCACCAGTTTCACCTAGTCATCACTCGCCCTCCATGTACTACACAAACCAAGAGATAAGAGTTAAGAGAGATAATAAACACAAGTGTGAGACAAAAAGAATAGTAATTAATATCGATGAACAATAGAGTTTTATTGGATATGACTGACAAATCACAAAAAGAGTGAATGTATCTACACTGTAATTGACAACGGGGATTTCGAGCCAGCTATATCACCAATTATCTGTAGGCGTCGTTGATTCTTACTATCGTGAGGACCCCAACCACAATCCCAGTCTACACCTCCCTGACTTAAACTTACTATTATGGATTTCACTGATTGATGAAGCCATGTTTTGCTTTGACCACCATTAACTTTTGTCCAACATAATCGATGCAATGCCAGCTAACATTGCACGTTGTCGAGGAAGGTGATACACCGACATCAGTTGTTAAACTACAGGAAATTAATCAACTTGTGGAATACCTCATTCCA